TATGGATGAGAAAGAGATTACCATGAACCAGCAAAGAGACGACCAAGAAACCATAAGTTTGATCTCTTCACTTCCTTCAGATAGAGATTTTCATAGCAACAAGTTGTTCAACTACCAAAGATGTTGGTACGACAAGAAAACTCTACAAGGAATCCTCAATTTCCAACGAGGTTTCGAGCCACAAGACACCGATATAATCGTAGCTTCGTTCCCCAAATCTGGCACTACTTGGCTCAAAGCTCTCACAGTCGCTCTCCTAGAAAGATCAAAACACTCTTCTGATGATCATCCTCTCTTATCTGATAATCCTCATGGTCTAGTACCAGTCCTCGAGCTTAGGCTGTACACAGAAAGCTCGAAACCAGATCTGACCAGCTTTTCATCATCCCCGAGGCTATTCGCAACTCACGTGCCGTTCCACACGCTACAAGAGGCTCTGAAGGGCTCTCCTTGCAAGGTCGTGTACATATGGAGGAACGTGAAAGACGCGTTGGTGTCGGTTTGGTATTTCGAATGCGCGAATCTAAAGATAGAAGACAAAGACGAGAGAAGAAGCATGTTGGAGTCAATGTTCGAGTCATTTTGCACAGGTGTTAGCTTTTATGGACCATTTTGGGAACATGTTTTGAGTTACTGGAAAGGAAACTTGGAAGATCCAAAGCATGTGTGTTTTATGAGGTACGAGGAGTTGAAAAAAGAGCCTCATGTTCATGTCAAGAAACTAGCTCAGTTCTTGGGTTGTCCTTTTACACTAGAAGAAGAAGAGAGTGGTTATGTGGAAGAGATCTTAGATCTTTGCTCTTTAGGTCACCTGAAGAATTTGGAGATCAACAAGACCGGAAAAACAGGTAGAGGCGTTGATCACAAGAATTTTTTCCGTAAAGGAGAAGTCGGTGACTCGAAGAATTATCTGACTCCTGAAATGGAGAAAAGAATTGACATGATCATTGAGGAGAAATTTCGAGATTCATGTTTGAAATTCTGATGGTTTGTTATTTTCCTTTGATGTAATGATTCATTTGTTAGAGCATCTGCATTGGAGACATTTTGTAGGTGTCTTTAAATATAAAATTATTAAAAGTTGAGTAAAAGGAAGAAATAGAGTGTTTTTGGTTGAAATAATGGGGTGTATTGAAATATAAAATTAATAAAATTTGAGTAAAGAGAGGAGATAGTGGATATTGTTGGAGAGATTGTGTCTTTAGGAAGACATAAATAATGACTTTTGGAGAGAGAATGTGGATGTGTTTAAATATAAAATTAATAAAAGTTGAGTAAAAAGATGAAAGAAAAAGTATAAAGTTGAGTAAAAAGATGAGAGAGTGTGTTTTTAATATTTGTTTATTTAAAAACATCCACAAAATGTCTCGAATGTGGATGACCTAATAGATTTGAAGTCGGTAGCACCTTGATGTTAGAAAAATCAATTAAATACGAATTAAAGAAAGTTATCTCTTTGTACCCACCACGTTGCCATACAATATCTCCTACTCTCGAATCAATCAGATTTAAAAAATAACATGA